GTAAAAGTTTCGTGTATATCTCAGGGACTTGAAGAATATCATCTCAATGAAGTTAGGAGAAATGCTGATGGTAGTCAAGACACTTAACTGCCTGCAGTAAGTTAATGTATTTAAAGCAGTGGATTCATGGCAAGGCTACTGGCAGTTACCAACAGGAGAAGATCATATAAAAAACAGGACATTATGTTGGACAGAAATATTCCTAATTTAAAGAAGTGCTGCTTTCCCTTACAGACAGGCTGTTCTCACTTAGCTGAATGATGACATTATTGCTGAGGAGTTAGAAGATTGTGTTTGTGTGCGATGATTATCTCACGATTAACTAATTGGAAAAACCGTCTGGGACACTTGAAAGCCAGCTTGAGGCGCACCGCAGAGTTTGAACTAACTATAAAAAAGTAAAGTCGCTGATAGCCACGAGGAATATAATATCATTGGCTTGCAAAAAGGAGGATAGAGAAGTAATGCTGCTACCTGAAAAAACTGTGACCATCAAAAGCATTGTGATTCCTTACTCAGATAGGATGCTGTAACCATTCTCAAGAAAAGCAACCCTCTGCAGTCGGCTAATTTAAAATGAATGAAATATTGGTTACACTTTATTAACTACCCAGTAACCCGAAATCAGTGTTGATACAGGAGGCGCAAACGCCATTAGTCGAAGAACGTTCTAATCCAGCGACAAACCGACATTCGTTAGTATACTGGCCGTTTCTTAACATCTGCCAGCAGAAGTACCCAACAGTTGAGAAAGAACGTTTGGCCACTTTTCGAGCGTTAAACACAGAAAAATCATATATTCTCCGTGAATGACAACACGTTACAATCAGTTACTAGCCTTACAAGGGTATGATCTAACGACCGGTCACACTTTAGGATGGGAGAATGTTTTGGCTGGTCGCTTGTTGAAACTTGATAAAGGGACGAAAATTCTGGAATTCGTGTGTAGAGTCAGTGCATCGGAACAGGAGATACTTAGAGTAGCCTGCTATCAAGAGCTAGATTCCACTCTTTAGTCACTGACGTAAGCGGTAACATAAAAAATAGCTGTGGAAAAACTTGCTGCAAACAAGTGGTGAATAACAGAAAAACCTATCTACAGTGATTTCATACTGTTTATTGACTTGTAGGAGAGCCTATTAAAGCCATACAAGTACGCCTAGACTAGAATATCACACGTGATTTCTACCAGCTAGTGTATACGGGCATTACGAAGACGAATGATCTCTTTTTGCCAAGCTCTGTACTAACCATGCATTAGTACTAATGTAGGAAGATGTTAGAAAGTACATATTCACTTATAGCAGGAGTGTCAAGCCATGAAAAGAAGTCAGTGTGCACAAGACCACCGTTTCAGTGGATTCCCTTAACAGTAGTGGATGATTTGTTGTTGGCAGACATAACGGGGTCTATCTCTTCGGACATTCAGCAGCAATTAGTGCTAACTGGGGATGACACAATGGTCCTCATGTTGGGTGGATGCTTTTTCAACTCACAAATAACGCGCAAAGACAGTAAGGAGGACTGTTATTCGAAAGACTGCTGCAAGCCATGGTGTAACAAAGGTGGTACTAACGAAACAGTGCCCACTTTTCTAAAGCGAACACTTCGCACTCTGCTAACGACAGCTGGGCATTAGGAAAACAATGTAGACTGCTGCATCACTCACATATCAGTGGTTCGACAGAAAAGAATAACGGTACTCTGATTAAATAGCTGGCCGCAAAGCGGAGTAAGTGAGAAGCAGAACTGTAGTGGATTTCCCTGGTGGGTGGTGTATCAACGGTCAGCCATGAATCTTTGTGTAATTTTTAGGTCTAGTTCCAAACGATGCTGATCCACCGACGTCAGACAGTGTAAAAGCAGGAGATAATGTAAAGTACAAACTGGTATTTTGTAATGACAATTGTCTGAGGCCCTATTTTTGCATAAACATTTTTATTGATCTGAGCATTTTTAACTTGGCATTCTCATACCATTTTACGGTATGACTAGTAGTTTATTTTCTGCCCCCATTGTAATGTAATTGGCTGATTGGTTAATCTTTACTTTTGCTATCCTGATGTCTCAAATTGAGGAGAAGGTTTTATTCATATGTGTACATATTCACGTGTTTTGGGATTGATTTATCATTATATTCTCAAAACGGAATAAACTCTCCCATCATCCAGTTTCGGTCTTCTCTCTATTCGTCCCGGGGTTGTAGTCAGTGGCTATTGTGTACTACGTTAGCTGCCAGCTATGCGTGTTATATTCTTTCGGAATATATAACCGTTGGCGTTGCGAAGATATAACAGCAATAAACCAACAAATTCGAAATCAGCATGAAGAAGATCGAATGTTTGGTACCAGTACAATTTAAAAATGTTAAATTATAAACTGAATGTTAAGTATATCAAAAAATAGATCATTAAATGTGTACTACCCATCCGCGCAGGAGATACCGAATCAATCATCGTTGCGTCTGGTATAATGCAGGAGGTCGTGGCTGCTGATCTAGAGTAAAACCTGCCCGTAACAAGTACGACGATACCTGATAAGATGGGAAGTGAGTTAACATAAGTCATCGGGAATGTTAATTAAAACGAAAGCACATTTAGCGGAATTTGAGAAAGACAAAAGACGTCGTGGAAACCTCTTGAGATAAGAGATCAATTTAAACATAAAGTGTAATAATGCGCTGTAGGAGATTGGTGAGGACGGAAAATAGAAAAGAATGTGTGTAGTCAATGACAGACTTGGTCCGGTTATTACCACTAGCAAAGAGAACGAAGAAAAATATTCGTGCATCACGTGGTTTCAATATATGATACTGCTGCGGAATAAGAGAGAGTTGGATACTGACGGGAAGAAGACCCCTTTAAGATCATCAACAGTGATTGAAGCAACTTTTTAGAGGGAAGCGAATGTGGTGAAAGCTATTTAAAAGGTTGCATGTAAGTAGTGTATGTCGCAAAAAGCAGGGACTGATAACAGTTAACAGTGGAAATTCTATCGAAAAGAACATACAATATCGTATCGAAATAAAAAGGGCGAGGACATGAATCTAAAGTAAATAAATAAGAAAAAACTGGAATGCAGAACGAGATATTGTTAGCATATCGTAACTTTTTCGTAAAATTTGGTGCTTTTATCCCTACTGGTTGAAATCTATAATTGGGTTTCAGTTAAAAAAAGTCATGTTTGTGGAATAGTAAAGAGACTGTGAGAGCGGTCCCTTAGACTGCAACTGTGTAGATTATTGTATGTTTGGAACAATATACTAGTTTTTCTGTATTTTTCTAAGGCTATGAGTTAAGAGTTGACTCGATAGAAGTACGAAACAGAAGAATGCAAGGAAGGAAGTAAAATATGCTTATACACTAACAGTTGCAGTATGTATCTTAGTGGGAAGTACAGTTCTATATATAAACAAAACTGAGATTTAGTAGATCTTAAGGAATAAGTATAATGTAGATGAAATTAAGGATTGAAATATGATTAAAATTTCGAAATAAACTTTTAGCTTGTTGCTACATAATGATAGTTTGCTACCTAGTTAGCAAGCACATACATATGTATATATGTATGTATTTGAGGGAATCATTATCTATAAATTTTTCCTCCTTTAAAAAGCAAGTTATTGTAAAAACAATTGTCTCCTCAAATTATTCTTGTTCTAAATAATCTATGGGGATATATAAATAAAATTAAAATTTTTGTCTCCATGTATTACAGATATTTTCATACAAAATGAAATGCAACTTATCGGTTGTGGGTAAGATCATAAGCAAACTATGTTGGCTTTTGTGTGCTTGGATTAAAAATAAGTGTCCTCGTTACATTCTCAACGCAAGCAATTAGAAACTGACAAACACAATGAGGTTGGACAAAGTAGAAAACGGAAATAAGTTGAATCATAGTATACATCAAATTTTTATAAGTGGGAAATATAATACTACATTCATAGTTAACACCTTTTTATCGACACTTCATTGGCTGTACAACACGAACTGAGTTATGCACAGAGAAATAATCCACACAGTGGAGTGAACGAAATTCCCCTTGTAGTTTCTATTCCTTGCCATTAACAGTCTTATGAAAACAAGCACAAGCGTAATGTCGTGTCTCATCAGATTTTGTACAATTCACTGCCAATCATTAGTATCAAAGGAATGTGATCAGTGAAATAAAATAGTGCACTGAGTAAATGAAGCGTTCAACCTTACCCATGTGCATTTTTAAGCTGTTTACAGTCATTACATGAATAACAGTTTTCTGAATGTATTTAACATAATTTAGTCAAAGTTCTGAAGCACGTTTGATGATACTTATGGGTAATACAAAACAGTGTTTTGCGTTCACACAATGTATTAAAGAAAAAAAGCGTGCCAAGATGAAATGGCTACTAACCAAAAGAGCAGTGGTTACTAAATCAGATCTGACTTGGATGACACAAACACTTGGTATTTCTTTTTTTCTCCAGAACGAAAATACGTTTGTCTGGTTTTAGAGTCCAGTTAGATACGATTGTTGTCCACCATGTTTCGATAAGAAAAACGCAGCATGGATCTACTGTATACGATAGTGGTAATAAGTGCAACATCTGATGATAGAACAGTGACTGATAAAATCAGTCCAATGAGACTTAATTTTAATAATTGTGATAAGTTCACGAGATTTTCTAGTGACTATGCATCCTTAGCAGAAAAGTTGAAAGAAGCACAACCTCTTTGTCCTGTGATCAGTTATATGAGTATAACTTTGTATCCAGTCATCTTAAATAGAAAGGATGCGAATATTGCTGTTCACAACAACTCATCTTGACATAAATAATGTCAAATTACAAACATAATCAACTATATGATTAATTACCACTAGTAGCGCACTTTTTACCTATTCCATGAGCCGTTTCTGTTTTATGTATTTCACTATTTCGAGGTACGAGAAAATCTCATCGGTTTTTATACTTCTGTTAATTTACTTTGATTATACCATGTTCAACAATTAATTTTACATTTTTAGACTTCAACTGGTACACCTGAGCCTTTTACTGCGTAGATTCTACCAGTTTAAATAGACAACTAAAACACTAAATTGAAAGTACGAAAATGAAAGCTTTTCAAACTGCAGCTGTAGCCTTATAGCCAGCTTTTCTTCGAATATAGTTTAAGCAGATAAGTATCTCTGAAATCCCGGATGACCTGAGGAATGCTGAGTTACTTTTTTCAGACAACATAAGAGCAGAAATTCAAGGTTGACATTTGATTGAGAGTATTTTACTAATATAACCACTAGTTTCACAACAGACAGGAAGGAAATTGCTTTTCAATAGTAATAATAGTATGAACAAATTACCATTCGGTAGTTTTGATGGATAGTGGCAGGCACTGGAATCCAAGACATCCGTTTCCTTTTATTTGGGACTCGTCAGCTGAATGTTCCTTCCCCCCCAATGAACGATGTTGTTCCCACGAAGACTGGAAACCTGTACTGACCGCTTCACAGATCAGAGTGATAACTACTAGGCCAATGGTTTACAATAGCCACCACTACTTAGTTACGAGTTCAACAGTAAATATTCCAATGTAAAAAGGTGTTCATAATTTAAAAAACAAACTCTTTCATTCACTGAGAAATTGTGCTTTTTCGAGAAAGAACTACGAACTGATTTCCACACTTAGCACCAATTAAACTTGTAGCTCAGATCTTTTCAGCAAGAACGAGGTTTGTGGTTATAATTTTCCATCAACACAATATACGAACTCAGACGAATGTACTACCGACATGGAGCTCTAAATAATCCAAACAACTTAGTCATGTACGCTCAGAAGTACGTGTTCATAAAAGCACAAGGTTAGTTACTGTCGATAGGAAACTTTCCCATTCGAATCGCTACTTACACTTCAAACCATCTCACCACGTCTCATTTAAAGTGGGTTTAGTTAAATGCCTAAGTGATAAGGCGAAAAAGCTAAATAGAAGGCCATAAAATCTACGACAAGAAATTAGACACATCGAGAACACCCTGCATCGCAATAATAATTACCCACCTTAACTTGTAAATAAATACATAAGAAATCGAAAGAAAAATATAAGTAGTAGTAGTAGTAGTAGTAGTAGTAGTAGTAGTAGTAGTAGTAGTAGTAGTAGTAGTAGTAGTAGTAGTAGTAGTAGTAGTAGTAGTAGTAGTAGTAGTAGTAGTAGTAGTAGTAGTAGTAGTAGTAGTAGTAGTAGTAGTAGTAGTAGTAGTAGTAGTAGTAGTAGTAGTAGTAGTAGTAGTAGTAGTAGTAGTAGTAGTAGTAGTAGTAGTAGTAGTAGTAGTAGTAGTAGTAGTAGTAGTAGTAGTAGTAGTAGTAGTAGTAGTAGTAGTAGTAGTAGTAGTAGTAGTAGTAGTAGTAGTAGTAGTAGTAGTAGTAGTAGTAGTAGTAGTAGTAGTAGTAGTAGTAGTAGTAGTAGTAGTAGTAGTAGTAGTAGTAGTAGTAGTAGTAGTAGTAGTAGTAGTAGTAGTAGTAGTAGTAGTAGTAGTAGTAGTAGTAGTAGTAGTAGTAGTAGTAGTAGTAGTAGTAGTAGTAGTAGTAGTAGTAGTAGTAGTAGTAGTAGTAGTAGTAGTAGTAGTAGTAGTAGTAGTAGTAGTAGTAGTAGTAGTAGTAGTAGTAGTAGTAGTAGTAGTAGTAGTAGTAGTAGTAGTAGTAGTAGTAGTAGTAGTAGTAGTAGTAGTAGTAGTAGTAGTAGTAGTAGTAGTAGTAGTAGTAGTAGTAGTAGTAGTAGTAGTAGTAGTAGTAGTAGTAGTAGTAGTAGTAGTAGTAGTAGTAGTAGTAGTAGTAGTAGTAGTAGTAGTAGTAGTAGTAGTAGTAGTAGTAGTAGTAGTAGTAGTAGTAGTAGTAGTAGTAGTAGTAGTAGTAGTAGTAGTAGTAGTAGTAGTAGTAGTAGTAGTAGTAGTAGTAGTAGTAGTAGTAGTAGTAGTAGTAGTAGTAGTAGTAGTAGTAGTAGTAGTAGTAGTAGTAGTAGTAGTAGTAGTAGTAGTAGTAGTAGTAGTAGTAGTAGTAGTAGTAGTAGTAGTAGTAGTAGTAGTAGTAGTAGTAGTAGTAGTAGTAGTAGTAGTAGTAGTAGTAGTAGTAGTAGTAGTAGTAGTAGTAGTAGTAGTAGTAGTAGTAGTAGTAGTAGTAGTAGTAGTAGTAGTAGTAGTAGTAGTAGTAGTAGTAGTAGTAGTAGTAGTAGTAGTAGTAGTAGTAGTAGTAGTAGTAGTAGTAGTAGTAGTAGTAGTAGTAGTAGTAGTAGTAGTAGTAGTAGTAGTAGTAGTAGTAGTAGTAGTAGTAGTAGTAGTAGTAGTAGTAGTAGTAGTAGTAGTAGTAGTAGTAGTAGTAGTAGTAGTAGTAGTAGTAGTAGTAACAGGTGTTATTAATAATAATGTTACCACTAACAGCAATAATAGTGGTTATTATTATGGTGATAGGTTTGAGCGAGAATTAAAAGCCTCTGCTGCGTTATCATACAAAGAAAAGCACGTCAGAAACATTACGCAGAATTCTCTATAAGGCTGAGATTAAAGTCTTACTTAAACGAGCAAACTAGCTTAGAAACAAGCTTTGCAGATTAAAAGATCCTATTGCTGCAATTAGGCAAAATAATTTGGTTTACCGAATCCCTGGCAATGCTTGCAAGGGCAAATATATAGGTCAAGGTAATTGACTAGGATCAGTTAGAATAACAGAGCATAAAAACAGCTAAATCAAGAATAGTAGATCCTAATCAGATAAGAAATTAAGAAAAAAACTGGGCTGTAGCTCTCCACGCATTTACACACATCACGTGGTAGGGTGGGATAGAGAGATAGTATTGAAAACTTAGTTGGGTGCAGGGAGAGACTAATAACCGAATCTTTGTTTATACTGGGTGGTAATTGAAGGTGGGATGAAAATCTGAACCGCGACCGAATACGAGCCAGTACAAATACTAGTCTGCCAAACTACGGCTATCTTAGATAGTCAAATCATAATCAATATGATGCTCCCCCTCTCTTATTCAGTTAGATTTGGATTGGGATGAGAAGTCCTGACTAGGCAGCTAGTCTGAATACGATCAAGCGATAGTAACGCATCACGCACCCACATGGTAATCGGGCAAAACCTTGGTGATTGAAGTGAAATAAAATTCTGTTCAGCGGTCGGACCTCGTAGCTCAGTTGGTAGAGTACCGGGCCGGTAACCCGGTGGTCGCTGGTTAGAATCCGGTCGCGGTTCAGATTTTCATCTCACCTTCAATCACCACCCAGTACAAATACTTGTCTTCCGAAAAAGGGCTATCTTAGACAGTTAAATCAGAATCTTTGTTTATCGAATCAACACCAAATACATGCAATCGAAGTGATTCTGCACTTGTCTCAGATATATAGGAAATTCTGCCACTCTTGCCATCACAGAGAAGGAGAGAAAATTAGGACTATATCTAACCTGTCTCAGAGCTGTGGAGTTCTCTGATATGAATACAGATAACAAATTATGTCCGAAATTCTATCGAGTAAATAATACTGTTTCACTATGCGACATGATATTTTACATGATATATGATATATTGTTTTGTGTTCAACCATATTTTTGTAAGATATTATGAGTCAGTCTCTGAAAATTACCTTTTCAACAGTTGTAATCCGTTAATTGTACTCCTAGTAAAACAGTATATCCTAACATGCAAGATACAATTATGACAGATGAAACAATGACAAGGAACGAAATAAAGTACAACTGAACAAAGTGAAATGCTGATCAGTAATTTGCATTCTGTGTACGCTTCAAGTTAGATATGCCGACTTAAATTAAAAACAGATTTATTTATAAATAAGAACTTTAGAAATTATCGTATTCACTTAATAGTGTATTTCACAATGAATATTTCATCCTACTTGAAATTCCTCAGCTAGATATGATCGAATATCACCAAGTCCTGATGTTATTGAATGGTTCCACTTTTTAAGTAAAACAAATCCACTAAATAAAATAGAAAATTATGAAGTGGAATGAAGATATTTTGTTCGTTTATCACTTGAAACGGGAGACAGGTCACTGATAAGATAAATGTCATCATTATTTATGAGATTAATGACTTAAATCTATCCGTATGTTTTGCATTGTCTAAAATATGGGGCGTAGTTTATCCGCTGCAAAATATCCTCAAATCTTAATCTAGTCAGCAGTTTATTTCAGGTACTTAACCTACACTATTTATTTATGCCGATACTGTCACGCAGTAATGACCCAGTTAAAAAGGGCTATCTCATCACTTAGCAACGCATTTAAGTAAACATAGCATAAAACTAAAAAGGACTCATACCCTGTTCATCTCAAATTACACCAAATACAGTAGGTCGTAAGTACTAATGAATGTGAAATTTGTCTATCATTCCTAGATTACTGGAAGAAGAGTATGCGAAAACATTTTTAAAGTTAACATCTTTCCGTTTCTGATTTAACTTCCTAAAACTTGGGAACTACAGGAAAATGGGTGTTGACTAATACGGTTATCACTTCTGACATTCTCTTATTTATTTTAGGTTATGGTTACAGTAACTAAGGTAAACATAGCTTTTCCTAAAAACATTTTTGCATTTCAGATTTCGTCCATTGTAACGTTTTTTTTGCATGAAGTGAAACTGAAAAGTCTTATTTTCTTCAATATCACATTTTAAACTTAAATGTGAAAGATACCGTCAATCATATATCTTCTCCGAAGCCTGAATGCCCCATTAAGTAACAATGCAGACCATTTATTGCTGCCTCACGGAAGATCGGTACATCACGAGATTCTAGAAGGAACTGACTGAAGTTCCCAGCTAAAAAACTCAGTGATACCGTTTAAAAAGTTTTATTCCGCAGAAACTATGTTATAATTAGTTAGGAGTATTTAGAATATATAAAAATAGTTGAATAAACTTTGTATCATTTATTTTATGGGCCAAACATTATATACTAATCATATTTCTGAACATGTTTCGGTTTCTGTTGCGGTTGTTTTGGTGAAAAAAACCTCTGCTACTAAAGTGATGTTCATCGATTGATGATGATCAGGGTAAAACCTCAAGTGTACATGTCAGTTTCGGTAGAGTAACCTTGCGAATTCACCACTAATGAAGGAAGTTTGTGAAACTTGATACAAAATTTTGCTGAACTTTAGATTTTCCAAAATGTTGCGGTTAGAAATAGGCCAAACTAGCAACCCCGGAAATAACCAATCAAGTTTCAGTATTCCGTCTGAGAAGGTGGTTTTTCATAAAATAGAGAAGACAAATTGGTTATCTCAGCAGATAGCCAATTAGGTTTCTCCATACGACTGGGAAGGCAGATTTTCACAGAATAGAGAGACATGATTGGTTCATTCACCCAGTTGCTAGACTGACCTTCAAAGCCGCTCTTTAAGTCACCCTTAAAGTCGCCCGTTAGAAATATGCACATTTCGGAAAGTTTTGGGTCAATTTTTTGGAAAATGATACAAGTTTATCTAGCTCGCAATTCCCAAACAGGACAAAGTGCACCTCGTGGATTTTATCAATGGGTTGCCACCACGCGAATAAAATAGTTTTGATTTTGTAGGCATATGTGATAGATTTTCTGTAAAATGGATGAGAAATGCAAAACATTTTTAAAAATCTATATGGTACTTTTTTCTTTCTAAATTTCATCCCCAAAGGTGCAACTCAGAAATGATCCACGTATGAGAACTGCTGTTTGTTCATGTCCTCACGTGACTCTAAAGTAAGCTGTATGCCTTGGTTACTTAAAACACAGTCTACAGTTGTCGGTCGTAGAACGTTCAGATCCCTATACGCGTGTCTTTAAAGGCCACCCCAGTAATTGATGAGATAGCCAATTGGATTCCCTTATTTTAGGGAAAAGTACTTTCCCAGGCTAAATATCGAAGCCTTATTGGTCATTTCAGCAGTTGCTACGGTGGCCTTTAAGTCACTCTCTTTATACAGCAGAAGAAAAAAGCATAATACAGGAATTCAGTATCTAAGTAAAGGAGGAAATTAAAAGGTACACTTTATGTAAATGGTAAGTCACAGTCTGGTAAGTTACGTGTCAATGACTGAACAGTTAAGTCATAGAATAGCGAATAAATTCATCGAATGCTCAAATAATTTTGAACAAGTAATCAGAACGCTGGGACATGAGGAAGGCATTTGAACCGTGACCAAAACGCTTTGATGAAATTTTTATGTGTTTGTGTAACAGGGTCTACTAATTCAGAGGTGTGGTTAACTATGTGTAGCAAAGGCGATGGTGCTTAACCCTTGATAGGCAGACCATTGGTTTATATGAGTTATTGTTCCGGGAAGAAATAAACGCTGTGTAGTAGGAATGATGACAATTGTGCCTCTGTTTTTCATTCTTTCCATAAAACTTTTCCTAAGGCTTATACCGTGTAATCCTATAGTCTGGACGTGATTTGCAGCCAATCGCCCTCTGTTATGCTTTCTTTTAATTAGCATTGTGTTCTCAAAATGAACAACCACTCCAACACTAGCAAACAGATCAGCAACTATATTAATCTTCGAAGCTTCAACTTCTTACCACTATTGGGACATTTACACTGTAGGTACCAGAGTGTTTCTGCCTCTGTAGCAGTTACGTGAACAGGTCTTTTCAAAACCCAGTCATGGCATATCAATGAATTTTCTGTTAAACACAATTTGGACTTAGAGAAAGTGCCTAATGATAGACTAAGGAGACAATGACAACGAACCGTCATGAACAGCTTTCTTTTTATACTAAACAGAACACTAGAATGTATAGTGACCAACAGCTTCTCTGTGCTGTTGGATAGTCATATTTCCACCTCATTGGCAAACTTCCTACCTTCCAACTAGCCGGTTATCCAAAACGTGCTGAAAAACAGTATCAGGATTAAAATGTGAACGTAGTAGATGCACGTCGCTTATTCTTAATAGCCTACTAGTTCACCTAGTTATTAAGTGTTTAGTTGAATTCGGTCGTTATTCTTTGGCATCACCGTGTAAACTGTAGCATCTCCAGAAGAAGTCTTTCGGTAGGGTTCAGGACAGTCATTATGACATGCAGAGCTAGAAATGAGGCTTTCGGAGTCTACCATACATTACATTTTCCCGATAATAATTCACAGAAGGGTGTACGAAATTTATGCGCTTAAAATGTTTCCAGAATAGGATTATCATGCACGGTTAACTTTCTGCGGATGGTTAAACGGAAAGCTTTGTAACCATTATGCGCCTATCCTTAATGTATTGCCATTCAGTGAAGTAACATCCTACTCTGGTGACGAAGTTTATAGGAATAATTAGCGTATTCGATTAACTGGAAATGCTCATGGATCCATCAAACAGAAAAGAAATTTTTCCGATGTAAATATGTGATTCTCTTTGGAAAAAGATTGTGTCAACGTCTTTC